TAATATTTACTGCAAAAGCACCGAAGAGGTTGTGATCTCTGGAATTTGATGAATTATCCGGAAGGTCGGTCGATGCGTTCGACCACTGTCAATCTTTGGACGGTGTGGTTTACTGGAAGTATTAACTAGTTGTGAATGTACTAGCTGTACTGGTCGCAACAACTTGTCGCGAGCACGCATTTACGTCGAAATTCCAAGATTTTGACCTATAACAACGAGGTCCTCATCAGCTGAAAAAGTTCTATGTAATATAATTTCCAGCAAAACTCAACGTCGAAATATTTTTGCCTTATACAATTTTAAGATGATTCTCTAGTCTGCGTACAGGTTGGTATAGCATGGATTGAACACTGGGTTTTCGACATTCAACCTCGCGATGGTCTGCCGCACGTTCAAGAGAAATGCCGTCAAGGATCGAGAATGGACCACGTGCTTGAGATCTACCACGGGGGAGGGATTTCAGTCGTTCCCTGTAGCTTCGGCCGACCAACACCACGAACTACTTGCGCCATGCAGTGGTGAGTTCCGTGGGGCCAGCGAGCGCTGTCCCATTGTTGAGAAGGATGTTGCCATTGTCGAGGCTTGTAAGCGCCTCGAGTACCTGCTGTTACGTCCCAGTGGTTTCCGTCTGTTCACGGGCCATTGGAATTTAGTGGACATTTGCCACACAGGTGGTGCTGGCGAAAACATTGTACCAGGCCAACTACGTTGTCAATGGAAATCTTGACTTTCCCCTATGTGATGGAACCGATCGAGGGGTCCAAAACCTATACGGGATCTCCTGAGTCGGCTGGGCACGGCTGACCGCTACGCCAGACGTTCCCGAGCCTACCGACTGGGCCACCTGGTGTCGCTGTTGCGCTCAAAGAACTTCGAGAGTCCTGCCCTGAACGAGATCGTCCGCGCTCAGCGCGATTGTCTCGACCACGAGATGTAGACAATATTGAGGACAAGGGCCTCGTCAAGTGTTGAGTTGAAAAGAACTGTTTTGAATGCCGTCGGATGCCAAGTGGATCCCGATCGGCTGTGTGGTTCTACAACACCAGTTTTGTGTGATCGCCTTCGCGCTTAAGTTACAAAGCAAACCATCATCAAGTAGTTTTATGGGGAAGGGCGAGGATGCCGACGCCAAGGCTTTTGTTAAGGCCTGCATGCACTGTATAGTCGTCGATGGGTGGTGGCGCCCCGGCCATGGGGGCAGGCGCTGCACGCTGACCGGCCCAACGAGCTCATTCACTTCGACTGAATCCAGATGCCAGTCGAGGTAAAGGGCTAGCGATATTTGCTAATTTTCTAGGACAAAATGAATAGGTGTATCTTCCTCTACCCTGGTGAAGAAGCGAAGACGCAAGCATCACGACGATGTTGTTGCACTGATTCGGGCTATTTGGCGTCGTATCGACGTGGGTTAGCGATTGTGGTTCCAAGAACTGAGTTTTGGAGGAGCTACGTCGGACGCTCGATGCCCACCACCACTTCGATGCCTCCCACAGTCCATGGGCGAATGCGAGAGTGGAGATGATGAATCGGCTGGTCCAACGCATGGTGTGCGCGTTATTGTCCAGTGAGTTGAAGTTGAGAGCGAGCGAGTGGTCATCCACCGTGCCGATGACTCAATCTGCTTTAACCACCAGCCAGCAGACGGCTGGGCTGAAAGCCATCATTCACGGCGTTTCAGGCTCTGTCATCCAGTACACCTCTGCAAGGTCTCTTCCACCCTCGGCTAATTATACATGCCACGGTGACCTGGCTGGCAAAGAGCCAGCAACAGTACCTACAAACGGTGGCCACCACCCTTGACCAGGTGCACAAGGATTGCCTATCGAAGACTGCGTCGAAGCGAGAGCAAAATGAGAGCATAGGGCGAACAAGCAAGGCGTGAAGTGACCAAGACTTGCCTTAGGGTGAATTCATGCTCGTCGCTCAGGTGGTTCAACCGAACAAATTGACCTTCTGTGTGAAGGGTCCGTGCCTTGCTGTGCGAGTCCACTCGAACCACCTAATGAATTACCAGCAGCTGCTACCTCCGCATGCCGTCAGCCTCCATCGCGCTAGTTGCCTCAAGTAGTACTTATAAGCGGGTTATGACATTTTCGAGCATACAGTAGCAGGTTGCCTTTGGAGGCACTGGGTTTTTGTGGAAACCTCGAGGAGATCCGCGACAAAGCCGCCCTCTTTGAAGTTCGTATACATTGGATGGGGCTAGATGATGCTGAGAGGTCGGAGCCTGCAACTGCCCTGTGCGGTGGCGTTCTTGCTTTTCTGACGGTGAGCTAAAGCCAACGTGAAGATAGAAATGATGTCGCCGTACGTCGCCGACGTGGAACATGTTGAGCCACATCGGCGTGAAATATTTGATCCACAATTCAAATATCGCCTTAAGCCCGAGTCATACCATATCTTCCCATTCTGCATGTTACATGAGCCTTGCGCAAGTGAAAGCTAATGGAAGCCACATCGCCCTAGCGCTGCCGAATGCAAAATTTCTAGAAAGCGACATTCTCGAAGTCTTGCTTAACCTCGGCTTAATCAATCACTTTCCAATTTACACTCAATTGAACAAACGGTGGGGTATCCTCTCTGGGAAGGCAGTGTTCCCCCGGGATCGTGATCCACGTGCAATACGGTATTCTGACAATGTTTGAACATCCATGTCAGTGTACTGTAAGCGTACAGTGATGGCGCAGCGTAGGCGAAATGAAGTGTGCAGGCAGTACCCTAATCTGTACCATAATTCAAGTCTCCGTTTTCCCTTGAATAATAGTGAGAGTCTCACAGCGTGAAACTGATAATGCACGAGATCACAGCGTGAGACAGATGCCTCACTTCCCAAATATTCCTTCGAATGCCTCATCTCTTGCCAATGCTCGTCGGAATCATGTGTTCTTCGACGTAAAACCATGGCCAAGACTGGATAGACTTCTTGACTCGCTGGAGCTGTCCCAGAGTCATTGCCAAACCCGCCATTTCTGCCACTATTGCCATGTGACCTACCTACCTACCTCCAGCGTCATTAGGGACCCCAGGCCCACTAGCACCGCCGAACTAGTTGAAGGTCGGTTGCGCCGGCATCCCCTAGCCTGACGTATTGGCGTCATGACCTGGGTTTAATCAGTTTGTCACATGGAAACGTCAAAGTCTTGAACCTCGTGATACGCTTCATCAGAAGCACTCACTTGCTTCAGCGCTTCGAACTCTTGTTTCGCGGCTTGAGCTCCATGGCGCTGCATCGGACAAACTTTGCTCCCGCAAGGTAAAAATATATCGTCTTGTAGCTGACGTTGCAGTTCGCCCATGCGAGCTGCCTCGACCACAGTTGCTATCACGCGTTTTGAGTTGCCCGTGCGGCACTCGCCGCCATGGAGTCAAAGAGTTGATTTTTTGCTTGGAATTGCCGATTTGTAGTAGTGCTCACAATTGGATTGTGGGTCGTCAGAGTCAATGCATCGTCTCGTCGTAATTCACCAACGCTTGCCCGTTAAATTCTTGCAGTGCTACCATGATCCGATTCAGCAAATTTGACTTCGCCTTCGGTGATCGCACTTTCCATTGCAATTCGTTGAAATATCATTGTTGACTGCAGAGCCAGTTGGGTACTCACAGCTTCTTACTTGCATTCGTGTTTCATAATATTCGTTGTTGGTGATGATCAAGTTTTCGCTCGCATCCGTGACTTGGTCTTCGTCGTCAAGGCTCGGGGTCGTCAAGACCCGAGGTTAGCCCCCAAAACCACCACTCTCTTTGGTGTTTGTGATGATGGCTGACGCCTTTGGACAATCATGCTAACCACGTTGCCTGTGCGTTTTATTTGCAAGGCTGTGCTTTACGCCATGTCGTTCAAGTTCCGTTCCCCCTGCGTTTGCGATTGATCATGTCGGCGTAGACCTGAACATTTTCTGGGAATTCCATACCCATGCTTCAGGTTGAGGTTTTTCTTGTCGAATTGATTTCGGGGTTTCGGTTCATGTGTATTCCATTGTGGAACTTTGAAAACCTTGCGTGTTGGTCGTCGTCGTCGCGTTGGTTTCCTCCAGACGCAAAAGCTCGGCCGCCCAGGGCCCTGGATTGCTGTCCCCGAGTCCAAACTTTGGAGAGCGTCTGTCACGAGATCTGAAGATAGCCCCGTGTTTGTCTTCTCATTGGCTATACGTGAGGGCACAATTCCGTGCCAACTTCATTCCGTGCCACCAGTGTTATTGGTCAATTTTCGACTATATACCTCTAAAATGATATAACTCTGAATATTCTATAACATTGAACCCCGCGAAAGGCGGCAAAACAACCCGCGAAATCGACATTTCCCATGTAGCCTGAAGGCTCATTTGCGAAAATTCTCTGCCTTCGGCAGCCGGCTACCACCCCCATCCCCTTGCCGTAGCCACGGTTAGTTCATGGAACGGGACGCCCCTACCATACACGCAGCCATGGAAGCAGTGCGGTCCAAGCGCATGTCCGCTCGGTCGGCAGCACGCTACTTCGGGCTTGGCCGCATGATGCTACAACGACGCATTGCTGGGACAGTGAAACCAACGTCACGCAACGGGCGGGACCCCATACTCACTGCTGGAGAGGAGCTCGGCATTGTCGAAGCTGTCAACGAACGCACCCTCCACGCCCAGTGTTTCACCATGATGGAGCTCGCCGACTTCATCCGTGTCTGTATTGAGAACAGCCAGTACACACGCGCCGTGCCTGATACGTTCCCATCAGTCACCTACGTGAAGACGTTCATTAAGCGCCATGCTGCGCAATTCTCAACACGCAGTGCTCAGGCCATGGAGGCCGTTCGCGCTAAACGCAGCACAGTGGAGGTTGTGGAGGCTCACTAAGCGAATATTGCAAAGGTGCTGGAGGACAACAACGTGGAGCCGGACTGCATCTGGAACCTCGACGAGACAGGGGCTTCTGCCCAAGGGTCGCACAACAAGTTCAAAGTCCTCGCCACCAAAGGCATGCCAGCCAAGGCCCAACGCCCCGACAGCAGACAAAACGTCTCGGTGCTCGTGTGTGTGAACGCAAGTGGTGGTCATGTTCCACCGTTCTTTATCCTGCCTGGCACGAATGTCTGTCAACGCACGACGCAAGGTGGCTTGCCCGGTTCCAATTTCGCGGCAACACAAACGTCATTTCTTTCAACGAAGCTGTTCATCCAGTACTTTGAGTGGTTCACCAAATGCATTGGCCCCAAACGACCTGTCCTGGTGCTTATGGA